ATATATATATATTTTACATTTCCATTGTTCATTTCCAACCTAAATGCATTGTAATCAGAGAAACTATATAATAACAACTACTGTAAAACTTTTCATTTTGCTTTTTGGAACAGTAGGGGAATCATTTTGCAAAAATGTGCCATTGTGCTTGAGAAAATTGTGTATTCTATAATTTTATATGCTTAAAAAATCAAGTTGTCAATGTCATTTAAAAATATTCTATATCCTTATTAATTTTTGTCTGCTTGAATTACCAATTACTAACAAATCTATATTTAAAAAATTTTTCCATCATGGTTGATTTGTAAATTTCTTCTTTCAGTTCTGTCAATTTTTTTCTATATACATTTTTCAGTCATTTTTACTAGAAGCATAAAAGTCTAGGATTGTTAGTTTTTTTTTCTGGTAAAATTAAAAAGTATCATTATATAGTGAGAGTAACTTTGTCCATATTAAGACTTTTAAAATTTAGTTTTATGTACATTTGCATGGTGAAATTATTTTTTAGCATTTTACTTTCAATATTTCCAGATGTGCAAACAAGATTATTGGTTTTTAATTCAATGTGACATATCTAGATTTGAATGGATATTTTTGTCACATTTATTGTGAATGACTACTCATACATTTTTATCTTCTTTTATACTTGTTGCTTCCCCTTTTTAAAAATCCCATTTTCTATCTCCTTTTGGATTAAATAGTTTTTAAAATCTCATTTTTTCTTTCTTCCCTCCACTGATTTGAATACAATATGCTCTGTTTCTATTTTTTGAGGTTACACTTAAACTTTTACTGTTTACACTTTAAGCAATTTAATGTTTATAAATACTTATAAAACAAGTTTAAATTTCAATGATATTTTCATTTCTAAACTTTTTTTATTCCTTTATAAATCACAATCACCTTTGTTAATAGGATCTGATTGCTTCTTGTGTTTCGATTCTATATATAGTTATATGTTATTGCTGTCTAGTGTTTATTTTTTACTTTTTAATCTCTGAGTTTATAAGTTTCTTTCCTTAATATTTCTTCTTGCATCTGAGACCTTCTTTATAAGATCACTTTCATTCTGAAAACCATTCTTAAAAAATTTTTTTTAAAGCTCTTCTTGTGGAGTCTGCTGGTGGTAAATTTCTTCAGGGTTTGTCCGGATCTTCATTTTATCTCATTTTTGAAAGCAGTGAACACTTGGAATTTGTCAGTTGCTTCACTTTTGCACTGTGAGAAGAGTGTCATATCTTGGGGGCCGTGCTCTATGCTGTTAAGAGGAGGTCAGCTGGCTGTCTAGTTGTCTTTCTTTTTAAGAGTCTTCCTTTGATCTCTGCTCCTTTTAATATTCTCTTTAGTGTTCTTTGATTTCACCATGACATTTATAGATATGGATTTACTTTTGTTCATCCTGGTTGTTATTCCAGTATTTTCTTAAATCTGGAAATTTCTCAGCTATATGAATATTGCCTCCTCTTAATTATCTTCAATCTTCTCTTTTGAAACTTAAGCATATGTTCAGTCTTCACACCACTCCTTTATGTCGTTGCTTTCTTAGTTACCACTTTGTTTCTCTCTTTGCTATATTTACATGTATTTTCTATTTCACCAATTTTCTGATCACTTGTGTCTATTATCTGACCCAACAAATCTTACATTTCAATGGTATTTTCACTTTTCTAAACATTCATTTGTTCTAAATCACAATCATCTTTGTTAGTAGTATCTGATTGCTTTCCCATGTTTACTTTTCCCATGTTTTTTTTTCCCATGTTTACAAACAGATTACATATTTATTTTATCTTATGTTTTTAAGGTATCCATTATATGAGATTTTTAGACATACAATCTATCTTTATGGTTTCTTCTGGCTTCACTCTCTCCTCCAGTATTGTGTGTAACACTGGATTGTGAGCTTATATTTGCTGGCATTTTATCTGTGGGAATCCTGTGAGGCCTACACAAAGAGGGAAGGCCAGTAAAAATTTCATGTAATTCAATGATGAGTGATTGGTGTCTCTAACCTGTGGCCATGTTAAGTTAATTCAAGGACCAACCAAGTCATGTAAATATGAACTCTAAATCTGTGTGAGGGCAGATTTGCAGATATGAGTTTTCAAGGAGTTATTTTTTTCTACCTAGAGTGCTAACTGGAAAATCTGTCCTCACCCTTTTCTTTGGGTCTGTAGCCTTTTGAGACCTCCAGCTCTATGGGCAGGTATATGTTCCATATATTCTCTTTCATGTATTCAAGGCTTTGTCTGATTTCCCCTATGCGGTCATTTAAAAACACAACTAGAAATTAGGGAGGTCAGCAAACAGTCCTGGATTAGCCTTGTTAATTGGGTTAAACTTAATTTTAAGAAGCCTAATATCTCACTAATTAGTAAAACACTAATCTAATATTCTTATTTCATCTTATTAGAAAAATAAAATGGCATGATTATATATTCACAGGTAAACAGAGATAGCTACCTTAATATTTTAGGCTTCAGATTAATTACATATACACTTCAAAGTTTATACTTTTCACTTGCTAGGGAGTACTTTATTCTCTTTATTGTACTGTCTTGTCTAGTGTCTGCATAAGGTACACAGCTTAAGCAATAAAAAATTACAGTTTGCACAGGGAAATTATATGGAAATCACCATTCATTCCGGGCAGCATCACAGGTGCAGTAATATTGAGAATCAATGCAGTTCCCCTCTAATCCACAAGTACACTTTTGAGCATCAGGCAGAGAACCTCCCCAGTAAGTGTGTGTTTCATTGCTTCTTCCAACCCACCAGCTCACTGGGGTTCCATCTGAAAAACAAGTATGAGAAAGGTGACACCTACTGTGGCGCCCACTACCAACATCCCCAATAGAGTTCCCTTACTCCCCTCTATTAAAACAGGTTATTTTAGAAGAGAGAATATTTTAACTCTGAATAGGATAATTTTGAAGAGGACTTCCAACTGTTTAAATATATTTTAACATCAAGATTTGCATTATCACCATATTTCTTTCTCTTATTAGAAAATGAACAAGTAGTACCTAGCTCATTCAAGCATAATATTTACATATTTTTCTTGAGGACTCCAATTACATAATTTATTTGGAAATTACATTTAAAAATTGGCATCAAAATAAAAACCAGAATAATTTAAACACTGAATCTGAAATTTGTTTGAGATCCTAATATATCATTGAAATAATTTAGTTATTATAGAAAATATGGATTTCTTTCACTTTATTCATTAGCTAAATACACTGGTACTTCCCATCATTTCTCAGAAGTTTCTTGAAGACACGTGCTTCTTTTTATACTGAATGGGTTAACTCTGTATTTGAAAACAAAAGCAGTGGCACTGACAAGACTTCTTGCTACATGAGGTGATTCTCAGGCTCAGAACAGTTCTGAGGTAACTACAGCTCAGTTCTTCAGCACAACCCCCTCCTCAGCGCAGCCCACAATTCAGTGACAGAGGCTGCCTCAGCTCTACAGGACCTCATGATTATGCTAAAGATTCTGCTGAGACCCCTTTCCAGTTACAGCACACCCCAGGATGTTTACAAAAGGCAGAGTATGCAGGAGGGTGGAGAGGAAACAATCCCTAGGAAGCAGGGAGTGAGGGAAGGAGAGGAAATAGAAGTGACATCAAATCAGCTGGTTCTGTCAGTGTGCTATTTCAAAACCGTAGGTTGTCCCCATCTGGCCCCCACCAAGAACCTGAAACATAGCTTAGCCTCTCCATAACTTACAAGTCCACTGCTCATTATGGCTCCCAGTTTGATGAAACTTCTTCTGCTGACAGTCTCTCAGCTTGAAAACACCTCCAATGCATCCATTACCACCCACCTCAGGTCCAGTGTGTAAGATACATGCCAAGAAATCAATATCAACAGTCTTGTTTTTTTAATGTGTTTAAAACTTATTTCTAGGGGGTAAAAGATCTTTTTAGCTCATATATTTAATAGCTATTTTTCAAAATACTATTTTAAAAATGTAATTATTCTTTCATAGATCGAAGAGCAAAGAAATCATCACACACAGATAGATGCACAATTTTGTGTTTACATCAGAACTTTTTATTTTTCCTATAAAATAGGAACCATCTAATGTTTTTAAAGGTAAAAATGCATTTGGTTCCATTCAAGATTTCTTTGAGTAACCTAGAGAATCTGCATAAAAACTAAGAATAACATGAAGAAAAATTAGAGGCTGGAGTGGAAAGGAACAGAAGAGATGTCAATGACCAGGATGCAGAGGCTCTGCTTCCTCAGTCATTTTAGCCCCTAGTTCACTGTCCTTCTCTCTAGCCATAACTACATACGCCAAAGACTTAGCATTCCTAGGATGGTGACCTAATAGTTTATTAGGACCAACACTGACTGTTACATAACTTCCTCATTAGCCACCCATAATCATATCTCCTGAAACTGTCTGTAATGTAAAAACCTTAAGAAATGCTGGAAGAAAAATGTTCCTGGACTCTGACAAGATCTTGGGCCCAAGTGCTTTGCCCCAGCCCTCTTGAAACACCAAAGTGACACAAGGGCTGCTGCACTGAGGCCCCAGTCTTGCTGTATCTCTTCTCTTGATTAACACAATCTCAGTTTCTTGACAACTTCTGAGAATTTAAATAGTAGAAAATTCTTGGGATATAACTAACTTTTGACTGACATTCCCCAATCTACCTTATACAATTCTTAAGCTATTTGCTTCCCACACTGCAGTCACCTTGTACTGTTCTCACATTGCAATCACCTAATGAGAGCTCCAGGTGAAGGCATTATTTGTTTTCACTCCTTCCACACAGGAGTAGCATCGATCCCCTGCACACTCATTTTTGTCTATCGATAATGCAGAGAAAATTGGTACAACAATTTTAAGATATATTAGGCAAATTAGTGCAAAAATTTTATGGTGTATTGCCCACCTCATTTCTCCCTAATTAAGAGCTTCTGGAAATATATAGATTTCTGTTGAATTTGTCTAAATTAAGTTTCTGCTGAAAATTCTCTGGTAGCAGCATATAAGAAATGCAAATAGCTTGAGCATATATAGACAATGAAGTTCGTTTTGTTTCTTTAGCAAGTGTTTAACAAGTTTAAAAGTCTTTTCTCTTTCTGTATTTTCTCCTAACCCCAACTAAATACTCATTTTTTGTTGTTGCTTTTGTTGCTGTTTTATACATTTATATCAAAGGGATGACAATGAGTAATCTCTTGCAAATCAATAGCTGGACACTGGCACCTTCATGTGGTATCTGGATTCTGGAATGGACCATATACTAGTATGTGTAAGTGAGTTTGCTCCGACTCACTGGGTGGTTTGTGTTCTGACTTTGTTAGTGGTTGAGTTAGATAACCCAACCCACATTGTTCCCTAGCACTGACTTATGCTTCTAGACACAGCTTTCTCATTCTTCTGGGAACACACAATTTCAGTTCAGTGATTTATTTGGCAGCAATTGACTAACAGTAAATACTAAACCCTTGAGCACTAACTATAAATTCAATAAACTGGAGATTTGTAATTAAGTAGTATTTACTTCATTTGATTTATAGATGTGCATTTAAGTCCTCGTGAGGTTAGCTCTGAAGACTCAAAAAAGATGAAACAATTTTCCAAGTTGCACAGCTGCCGAGTGACAAGCTCAGAACTTGAATTCAGAGGACCCTGCATACCTCCTTCTGCTCACTCTATTCCCCAGATGCCTGATCAGAGACAGGGTAGATTAGCCTCCGGGAAACCAAGGAGTTTCATGAAGTTAGTGGGGTTGCTCATTCTGACAAAATGAGATACTTCAAAGGAACAAAATACAAAACTAAAAACAGAATGTTTAAGGGTAGACTAGATATAAACAATGAACTATTAGCAGTTACATTGTATGAAAGAGCTATATGATATCAACATTGTTCTCTAGTTAATAATCCCCCAGGACATAAATTGCATTAAGTCTATGAAAAAAAAATCTCAGAATAATCACCTGTGGATAACTATACCATGATGCCATTAGCAATCCCTTCTAAGATAAAACAGAATTAAGGTGCAGCTGCCCTTCATTGCGAATGAGCAGTGAGAGTCCGAGGGGCTTGGAAGGAGGCTTTTACTGCCCAGCTGAGTCTGAGAAGAGACTTAAGATCATTTGCAGCTTTGAGTAAACAGTAACATGTATTGACCTTGCTCTTTGCTCCAAGAAAAAGCACTTCTGTAATTTCTAGATTGTGACTCATTGTGCACATACTCTCGGGCACCTGTGTAGGCCACCACAACCTGTAGTAACTACAGACCACGATGGCGGATTGTTCTGATTACTCACCGTGATGAGCTGAAAGCCTTGACTTTCTGCAGTGGAAAGCTAGCTCTTGTTGGCAGTGGTCTGCATGGTCGATTATGGCCTGAAGCTGGTCCATACTGGCCCTGTACTTGAAAAACACAGGATGGGAGTTTTCTTCATTCGAGCTTTTGACCCTGGCCAAGTGGGAGCCATTGTGCTGCACTGAGGTCCATGCTGTGTCTTGTGGGCATAAATGAGGTTGAGAAGGAAAAAGAAGGCTGTGATTAGGTTGAAATAATTAAAAATAAATACAGAAATATAAAGCATCTTTTATGTGAATTAAGAGTTTTATTTTTGTAGCTATCAGATCTCTTTGAAATTGAAATTAAAGTGGGATTCTTAAAATGTTAATAGTAGGGATTTCCTTTATTAAAATTTGTATTACCCTGAAAGTAGTCAACATTGTCGGGGGGCCAATTTTTAAAATTCTGTGTTATAAAATTCAAAGTTATAAATAGAACTTTTCAGCTTTTAAAAAAGGTTTTCTTTCCATTATCAGAGAATAAAGTCAGACTTTAATTGTGTATATATTTATTTTTTTAAAAAACATATTCCTCATCTGCTTGAGTATCTTTTCACCTGATAATCAAATATTTGTGCAGGATGTACACTTGAGAACAAGCAGCCCACACGACCATACGAGATAATAAAAATAAGTATGTTTGATAAAAATTGGCTGATAGTGTATCAGCAACTCATTCAGTGTTCAGCACTAAAAAACACAGTGCTTTGGAGTATCTAATATAATTCCTGGCAGTAACCACAGCTATACAAATGTCTGCCAGAAAATTCTGACATATGTTTGTTACAGTGATTACTTATATTTTAAAAAGAGATTAAAAAAATACTTCACAATGTTCATAACAGAAACAAACACACAAACAAAAAACAGCATTTTGACTTCTTTTACCTTATCCTAATCATCTCCCACCATAAAGGTATAAAGCTTCCACAGTACAAAATGCCCATGGTGGCTAAAATGCTGACTTCATGTTGTCCTAACTCAACTACATTTATGTTGCCAAGTCACATGACTTACTCTGTGACATGAATTTGGTAAAAAGATCAGTCTACATATAAACTTTTCAAATTTCAAGAGTAGGAAATAGTCATGTGGAACTCATTTTTATTATTTTAAATAGCTACTACATGACAAAGTTCAACAATCCAAACAATGCTACGAGGAACCCACTGAAGAGCCCTGCTGGTCCCTGCCCCTGTCCTGCATAGGAGAAATCTCACAGCCACACCAGTGCTTTCAGACCTCTAACTCATCAAATATACCCAGAGATCCGGAATGAGAACCAGAGGGCCATGCCAAGAAGTCTGGCTCGAAGCCTATGGAAAAACATCACGAAATATACAAAAAGTCGTAAGAACAGGAACAAACTGTAAGTCAGCATGACTAATTCAGTTTCATATTCATTTAGGAAAAAAAAACTTAATAGATCATTTCCCTCTCTCTGCTCACTCAAGGGGGTTCTGAGTGTTCCTATAGTGTCTTGAAGTCCATAGATTCCCCACCCCCTTTAATCATGTTTTCACTAGATTTTTTATATTTCAACATTTTCCTGGAAAATTACTTAAATGGGCCTGCTATTATTTTTTTTTGTAATTACCTACTTCCATTCACCCTCAAGTTTTCTTCTATCAAATGAAATGAGGGTAATAGAAGCCACATAGGAGACTGTGTTAGGCTTAGGAGTTCATCAATTATAATGCCATTGTGTCATTTATTTTCATGGCTATGGCACAAAGAAAAATGATATGCCTGAATAGTTCATATAGGCTACTGGTCAGTATGATAGATTTATAGTTTTTCATGGCTAAAATGTAATAATTGAAATCTTTTTCAAGTGGAAAAAAAGGAAAGATTAAAAAGAATCTCAAAACTACTCTTCTAGAAAAAAGTATTTAAACGATTGCCCTTTCTAGAAATATCATTTAAAAGACTCCAACAAAGACACATTATGTTTTCATAATATTCTACAATATATTATTTTCATAGACTTCAAAACTATTTGTGAGAAGGGATCTTTGAAATATGACATAATCTTAGCTTTCAAGCACAAGGAGACAGAACAGGATTTAAGTGGATAGCTGTTATTCGCTGTAGTTTGAAGCACAAATTAGATCTAAAGAAATTAATTGTAATAGCGGACAAATTTAATCAGGATTTTTGAGCTATCATTGAATGAGACCACATGAGAATATGTTCATCTAACTCCCTAGAGCCTTTCATCTGCACAGAAGCAGGTTGACGGGTGGCTCCTGGTCCACCACTTGCTCAGGGAAGTGAACCTGCTTAAAGTTAACTTGATGGTTTGGTTTGGTAAGCAGTATAGAAAAATAATAACTCTGACTCACCATATAAGACATCCCCTGAGGTAGGAGTTACATCAAGACCCCTCCTCAGAGTCATCAAAATGAAAAACAGCCTTGAAAATAGCTTTGATGTAGTAAAGCAGTTCGGTAGTTTAAAACTTCCTGCTAAAGCAGAAAATGAAGGGGATAGGGAAAGTCCCCAGCATAGCAGGCACAAAAGGACAGCTGGTGTGACCTAGAATTCACCTTCGCTTCATTATATGATCACTGTAATAAATTAACACTACAGTTAAGGCTGTACCCATCATGCATCTGACACCATAACAGTTCTGAGAGAACCTAAGGTTTGTCATCTTTCATTTTAGGTGCCTATTTGTGAATATGGAAAATGTCTCATCTACTATCCGGAGCCACTGCTTGGGTACACCCTGAAGAATTGGAATATTTTTAAATTAGATGAACTTAGAAAAAAGAGGCTTATTTTTTACTGTAATACCTCATGGCCTCAATATAAATTAGGGAATAGGGAAACTTGCCCAGAAAAATGGCGGTACTAATTATAATACCTTACAGTTAGATCTGTTTTTCCGGAGGAAAGGCAAATGGCTTGAGTTTCCCTATGTACAGGCCTTCATAATGCTTACCAAAACCCTGTCCCTTTGTAAAAATCCTTTACAATCCTGTGTTGTAGGAGCTTCCCCTGATATCTTAGATGACGACCTCCTCAGCAGCCCTTCTGTCCCTCAGGAGGGGCCCAAACCACCAGTGGGCTCAATAGTGGAGTCTGCTTCTCCAGGGACTCCAACCTTGGGATCAGGTTCAAGCTCTGGGTATACCGGTCCTTGCTACTCTCCTCTATACCCCGGCCTGCCTAAAGAAGAAGAACCTAGCCTAGCCAAGGTTACTTGGAGTGGGGCTTCATACCTCTCACCTGCTCCAAAAAGGTTACACTTTAGGGATAGAGGGCAGTGGGACAGAGGGCACTATATGCATCCATGTCCTTTTCTCTGTTATTGACCTAAAACAATGCAAGGGAAAACTTGGATGCTTTTCAGAGGACCCTGCCCATTTTACTTAAAACTCCCAGTCTTTGACTTTGGCCTTTGATTTAGCCTGGAGGGACATATACATTACATTAGCTCCTTGCTGCACCCCAGAAGAGAAACAGTACTTCTGGGATGCAGCATGGCAACATGCTGACCAATTACATGCCCCAAATATCCAAAACTAGGGACTTGTGGCTACAGTTTTTCCAGACCAGGATCCCTACTGGGATTATAACATAGCAGGAGTGACCTGAGACAGGGACAATATAATTCAATGCCTTCTAGAAGGAATGAAAAAATATATTAAGAAACTTGTAAACTATGAAAAGGTAAAGGAGGTGACTCAGGGTAGAGATGAAAACGCTGCTCTCTTCCAGGAGAGGCTCATTGAGGCTTTTAGAAAATATACCAATTTAGATTCCTTTTCACTTGAGGGTCAGACCCTCATGGGGTAACATTTTATTAGCCAGTCTGCCCTAGATATTAGGAGAAAACTTCAGAAATTACAGTAGGGCCTCAAACCCCATGGCACGATTACTAGACACTGCTTTCTCTGT